TTAATTTAATATGAGGATAAATTTTATGTTCAGCAAAAATATTTCCTATTTATAACAATTTTCTTTACTTTTCAATAGACTTTTTCATTTCGACTTCTCATATTATTTGTTGGATCCAACATTCTCAGTTTACTCAATAATTCCCGAATTTGTTTTGTTCAAGATGTTTTCTAGACGAATGAGCGATGGACTCATATTACTGTGCAATAAAAATACGACTGATCAATTAATTCAATGCCACCGAATGAATCATTTGAACCAAATGGATTTTATATCGAGGGCAAAAATATTTTTAGAAACGGAGATAAACCAGATATTCCATCAAATTTTCGTAATCAACATCGCTAGTCCAATAATTAAGGAACTATTTGCCAGGGAAATCGAGAAGAGTTCTTTCAGAATCATCAATGACCAAAATTTAACATTCAACCGAAAGTAAAAATGCGCTCGGTCTTTTCAATTCTGTTACATTCCACCACTTGACCGAGTTCTCCTCAGAATTATGTCAAGAAACTAATGAAAAAGCCATTAGCATGATTCCAAATTCCCCAACAAATAGGCTCGTTACGCAATCGCACCTTTGTTCCGCCAAAAGGCGATTTAGGCATTGAGTACTCGAAAAAAAATATCAAATAATCGCGATAAGGGAAAAGTCATCGAGAACTCGAATTGACGTTGAAGACCTTAAATCCGTGTGATGTGTTCTCCCTCGCTGAAGAGATCGATGTCCATGTGGGATTTTACTCCGAATCAACCGACTTTTTTCGTCCCGAGACTGTCACATTTCTGAGCCCCATGTCCCCGGCAAAATCTTCTTATCAACTCCTCAAGTAATCCACCAACACGAACAGATATAAAAATTACAGTTCACTGGAACAGCAGTAAAACGATTTAAGCCGATTTAGCTCTTAGCTGAGTTTTAAAGGAATATCTCCGAATTTAAGAGAGATGACGAAATTTTTATAATAACTGTTTTTGTAGCTCTCAATTCGCTCTACAAAAAAGATTATAACGAAAATTTTGCCATCCGCCTTGGATTCGGAGGTATTTATCGAAAACTGGTCAACAGTCGAATCGACTTCTTCGCTATCGTTTTTTCATGTATTCAAACAAATTGAGAGAAATTTTATTTTAAAAAATTGAATCGGGGCTCGAAATCTGTGAGACTCCCCTTCTGTTTTACGCCCTTCACCCCCCCCTCCATCGAAAGAAATGCAGACAAAAGACTTTAATTTATGGCATTTTAACTTCCTAATAGTGCGGATTAGCGACTGGAGAAAATTACCGATGCACTCTCGATCGGTCACTCGTGCTTGCCGCCATGTTACGTTAAATACCGATGACTTCACTGTCATTTGCCCACTACACGCACGTGCGGTTGTCTGCAATCACCGTAATTATGCCTCTTATTTTTTTTCCGTCTCTGTTGGCTATTTAGTCACTCAACGTGCACTTATGTCCTTAATTAGCCATTTGAACTCACTCTTTGCTGATATGCTAAATGTACAGTGTGATAAAATCATTAGGTCATGTGATGTTTAGATTAAAGAACATCTTGATAACAACTTTTATTTTGTCGAGTAAAAATCCAATTGTTCCTCATGTTTTTTTAAGATAAATTTGAATAGTCGAAAAACATTGCAAAAATATGAAAATTATTATTTTTAGAAATTGCTTTCCGAAAGTTTCAATAAATTCCATAATTTATTTCAGTAGCGAATTGTCAAACGGTTTAAGTGAGTTTGGTATTTGGTTGAGTTTTCCAGAAATATTTCCGAATTTAAGGGAGATAGCGAAAGTTTTATAATAACCTTTTTTGTAGAGCGAATTGAGTGCTACGAAAAAGGTTATGAGAAAAATTTTGCTATCTCCCTTAGATTTCGAGATATTCATTGAAAACTGGCCAATAGCCAAAATTTTGGAGAAGATAACTTCTTTCATTTTGCTTGAATCTTAAAATCAATCGTTTTTCACGATTTTTCAATAAAAATGGGGGAAAAATATGATAAAAATATAGTTGGCCATCCGAAATATGATTGACCGCAGTAATAATCTCGCCAGGAAGCAAGCAAATACAAACAGTTGAAAACCATTGCAAAAATATGAAAATTAATTTCCTCAGAAATTTCTTTCCGAATGTTTAAATAAATTCCTCAACTTATTTATTGCAAAAATACCAAAATTTCGGAGAAGATAATTTTTTTCATTTTGTTCAAATCTTAAATTCAATCGTTTTCCACGATTTTTCAATAATAATGGAAAGAAAAAATTGATAAAAAACCATTTGGCCATCTCAAATATTATATGATTGAACGCAGTAATAATGTCGCAACACCAAAAGATAGAACCCAAAGAAGCAAGCAAATACCCTGACCAAGGCAAGTGAAAAAAGTTGATTGCAAGAAAAGAATTAGCGGAAGAAACAGCTCGAGACCCCGGGTTTACTTTTTTTTCTCCATCCTCTCTTCCTCGGAGGGATGTTTTTCCCTTCCCCACGGCTTGCGAGGAAGACGCGTTCTTCTCGCCCCCGAAGGAGAGACAAGCGAGGAGAAATGAATGAGAAAGTGAGAGAGATAATCCGGGGGAAAAAAAGGTCTGCAAGGAAAACGTGCGCCAGAGGGTGTGTGAGAGCGGGGATTGAGACTGGGGGGTTTGGAGAGGAGCGAGTGAACGACGTTAGAAGTAGAGAGAAGAGATCGTCGTGGGGGTGAGTGGGCAAGAGAACGAGTGGAGATCTGCAGACAGCTCCAGCGCGGATAGAGAATGGCTGATTCCGTGAGGAGGAAGCGGTGGCATGGAGAGATGGAGAAAAGAGAGTGGGTGGAATCGTCGCTCTCTCTCCTGCTCCGGGGAGCCCGGGGGTGGGTGCGACGGAGATGTCAGGGGCTGAGGGTGGAAACGGCCCGACAGGATGACGCTGATCAATCTTTCGCTTTCGAATTTCGCTCAGGGCACTACCGACCAATCCACATTTTTTGTTCGTTCCTCTCACACTCTTCGGCTTTTTTGCGAAACGTTATTGTAACCACTTAGGGGTTCGGCAGCGTTCATGGAATTGTTGAATGAATTTTAAGAATTTTTATCATTATTTGTTGTGTTAATTCGTGGGAATTGACGTGAATATGAAACAAATTGTAGATTTTTTTTTTACTGTTGGAAAATTACGCGTGAAATTTCACGGGAAAAAGATTCAATTTATAACGACAAAGTTACATCAAATTTATTCGAGCAATTCTCGATTTTCAGGTTCATACGGCGCTGAAAAAAATTGACTTGTACACGCAGATAAATGTTCAGTAAAAATTACGGAACTCACATTTTTTGTTCGTTTTTCTTCCAGTCTTCGGCTTTTTTGCGAAACGTTATTGTGACCACTTAGGGGTTCGGGGGTGTTCATGGAATTTTTGAATGAATTTTACGAATTTTTATAATTATTTGTTGTGGGAATTGACGAGAATATTAAACAAATTGTGGAATTTTTTTTAGTGTTGGAAAATTACTCGTGAAATTTCACGGGAAAAAGCTGAAATTTATAACGACAACGTTACATCAAATTTATTGGAGCAATTCTCGATTTTCAGGTTCATACGGCACTGAAAAACCTTGAAAATTTTGATAATTCAGGGAACAACTTTTCTGAATTCTCAATCTATTGAAAATTGACTTGTACACGGAGATAAATGTTCAGTAAAAATTACGGAATTCACATTTTTTGTTCGGTCTTCTTCCAGTCTTCGGCTTTTTGCAAAACGTAATTGTAACCACTTAGGGATTCGGAGGATATTGCGCTTGAAATGAATTCAATCATAGCTTAATATGTTTGTTTCTATGCGACTATATCGAAGTTAGAAGATGGTTACAATAACTGTCTCGGTTAATTTGATTTTTAGGATAATTTTTAGAAATTGCGAATTTTTCATGAATTCCCCGGAAAGTTAGCTTTCTCATAGTTCCTTTAAATGTGATATTTCGAATGCATTCAATTATGTATAAATGAAATATTCCTAATAATATTTCACAGAAATTTTCAGAAATTTTTAGGCTTTCATTAAGTGGAAAATCTAAAATAATTAGTTGAAAAAAAATAAATTCAATTCAGGCGAATAAAATAGGCTACGAATAATATACAATGGAAAAAAATAAGCAAAAGGACCATTCAGGTGCATATTCCTAACTTATTAGCAAAAATACCTATACAATACGCAATGCAGGAGAAATTTCCCCCTTGTTTCTTTAATACTTCGAAAATAAAACCATCAACATCATCTTATTTTAAAAAGGAAAACCGACGAAAACCGGAATCCAAAATAAAATCCACTCAAGCGCCTTCGAAATGAAGAAATAATGATAAAAATAACTTGATTGAATTTAAAAATATGTTTTTTTCGCTGAGATTAAAAACGGGAATGTTTTTTTATCCGACAACTGGAGGGTATTTTGCCGTTGAATACCACCGAGCAGTCGAAAATAAAACCAATACGTCATACGTCCCGCGGCAATTCTCGCCTATCAATGCCCCCAGGTGTTTCCCAAAAGCCCTCACCACAAATTCCCTCCACACTTTCCTCAAACATGAAATCACATTCGTGAAAAGCAATCCGTCAGTTCCATTAAGTTTCCCCGACCCACCGGATACATTCCATCGCCACCAAAGTGTCGATCGGCCGTCCGGCATTTCACACACAAGATAGGTATCGCTGTGAGGGGCTCGGCGTGGCGGACGATGTCGCGACATTCGTCTCTCGACTCCGAATCGCTTTAGTTCTCGACCAAGGGTGAGCCCGTCTGCGCACAAAATCCGCAGGTAAACAGCCGTCGACTGTCGCCCCTCTCGCCAATATAACCGATCAATCGGCAGCACCTGACTGGGCCAGACTGCTGAGGTGGGCGGGCACAATACTTCCGAGGATTGCTGTTCACTCAAGGTCAAGGTACGCGTTGATTGGTGGACTGTGAGGTGGCTCGGTGCTCTACAAATTGGCGAGTAACCGATCTTCGGCATGTCAGTTAGCAAGTGCTCACCATCTAGTGGACCTCGAGAGTCACAGCCGCAAACGAAGACTGAGGAAGCTATCGACGAGTCCAAGTGCAATCGAGGAAAGAGCAACGGCAAGATGACGCTCATAGATTTTAGCAACGTCGTGCATCAGCAGTGCATCTCACCGGATGATCAGGTGTATCCGTCGTCACCAACGAGTGTTGAGTCCCGTGGATCTGGATCCAGCTGGCAGAGTTACAATAATTATCGGGAGGCTACTCACTGCGATCAGCAGTACTGGAGGAATAATGACTTCCGTCAACAGCAGCAGCAGGACCTGGTCAGGACGCAGCTTCCTCCGTACGTTCATCCCACCATTAAAATAGAGCTGGGTCAGCAGTCGGATCGACAGATTTCTTCGAATAGTAATCAAGGTTGGTGACATTCAATCTTATTTTTTATTGCTGATATGGTATTTTAGCACTCTTTTTTTTTATTTTTTTTTTTTTATTTGTCGCGAGGGCCTTCCGCCTGGTTTTTACAGAGATAGTTAGGTGAATGTTATTATAATATACAGTGGGTAATGGGGATCAAAATACAACGAGAGGTAAATAGGGATGGATTTTCGAAGAGTTTGATGAGAATGAAAAAAGAAATTAGAGACGTGTTGTTGTTTCCGGTAGGCTCTTATTTTCCTGATTTACTGATAGGCAAATCTTAAAGTTTATATCTTAATGTTGAAGGCATTACGTGTGTATATTGTTACTGTAAATTAATTTAACCTCTTTGAGCCATCACACTTATTCGCACACCTTTTGCAGATATTTTTCAGGCACGAAAAAACGTCTGAATAAAACGAAATTTGTTTGAACTTCAAACATGAATCAAGATGTTTGGGCACCTGTTCGTCTGAAATTCAGATACGTTTGTATTTTATTGAGACGTTTTTTAGTGTCTGAAAAATATCTGCAAAAGGTGTGTGAAATTCAGACATTCGCTTTTGCTGCGCGGACCCTTCCGTTCTGCGCTTTCCATTCTAGAAGAATTTTTTAATTTTTTTTCAACTTACGAGGTGTTCACATAAATGTATCGCGTAATGAAGCAATTTTTATGAAAGTATCAATCCTCGATTTCAATTCAATTGATTTCAATCCTTAGGGCTGTTAAATAACGAGATAATTCAGCTTCCTAGGAAAATTTGACGGAATTCCTACAATGACACATTACCGACTCAACTTCCGAGAAATAAAATCGTGACATCTGTGCGTTTTTTGATTAAGGGACACAGAATGCTCCCAATTTTCCAAATTTTTGAACAAATTTCCGGTCGAAAGTTATCGATATTTTTACAAATCGAAGTACATTAATTTTCAGCAGACTATAATAAAGATAAAGATCAACATGCTTTAGATTCGAAAAATATCAATAACTTTAAGCAGCAAATTTATTTGAAAATTCCAAAACAGTGACATCCTGTTACCCCTTTAGGGCTGTCTCACTAAATTTATTCATTTACATTCAAAAAATCGATTGATAGGCCGTTAAATCTTCAGTTATTATTAAAGATTTAATTGTTTCAATTTAATTTTTCGGAATTAATCGAGTAGAAGGTGATATCGAGTTGATGAATGAGTGGAGACCCGAGAAAATATTCGTATGAATGGGAAACGCAATGGCGTTACCCGAAAAACTTGATGAAGTTGAAGTCAGCAGGGTGCCCAGCGTTTACACGCCGAGTGGGCTATTATTCCTGCTGTGCCGCTCAAAGCCTCAGACACAAGTACCGTGATATGGGATTAAATGGTACCCCACGAAATTTGCCACCTACAATTTATCGAGATTCGATTGTTCACACGACAATACAATTTAATTTGTTTTCAGAGAACTAATTGACTTTCATTAATTCCAATTTACATTCATCAATGAATAATTTTTCAAAAGAGACTCTGCCTCGGAAACTGCTTTCCCTGACATATTTTGAAGTAGCTATCAATTAAGGAATGTCCCAATCTTATCGCATAGCTCAAGGAAAAATAAAACGCGGCATTTTGGGTTTATCAATTTCGCCCCGGGGGATGCCTGAAATCTGGAAGGAGGTCATTGCCCAATTAGAAATTTTTACCCTGAATTTTGTGAAAGATACTTCCGCTGATAATAGTTTATAGAAAACTGTTGTGATAAACAGTATAGTAAATTCGAATTTTTTTCAATTCCCGGGTAGAATATTTTATACAAAAAATCCAAACAAAATAAACTGGATAAGAACGTAAAAATATTACTGATGAAACAGAACTATTTCGTTATTTAACAACAATAAGAATTGAAATCAGCAGGCAAATTGATGCGGACATGGATTTTTTCATCTTCTTATCACAATAAAGCCGAAACTATAACATGAAAAAAATGACACTTTATATTGGAGTAGAGTAATATTCAATCTAACGAATGAAATGAGTCCCACACTCGTGCGATTTGTTTTCGCGAAGATAGAAACCTCCGAAGCTTGCGGACTACACTTTAAAAAAGGCTAGTAGTCCTCATTCAAAAGACACATTAAGTCACGACATCACTTTGTGAAAGTTGTGTCATCCAAATATCGAATCGAATACCGCAAATAGCTGGAAAGCCTGTCATCCTCTCGATTTTATCATGCTATGTTAACTCGCGGCATTCGTCTATTCTCACGTCGCAGAAGCGCGTCGTCAGCCTAGCCTAACCAAAACCACTTTTATGATTACAGCTGCGCCACGCAAGCAATCCAACGGCAAGCGTTCGCGAACAGCGTACTCCAGTGCCCAGCTGGTGGAATTGGAAAAACAATTCGCCCTCGGCCGTTACTTATGCCGTCCCCGCCGGATCGACATGGCGCGAGCGCTCGACCTCTCCGAGAGGCAGATAAAGATCTGGTTCCAGAACAGAAGGATGAAATTCAAAAAGGAGCAGAGCTCCGACAAGCCGGATGGTTCCCTGAAGTCGTCAAGATCCTCAGCCCCTTCTGTGAAGAAGGAGCCAATCGAGAAATCTGCGAACGCTTCACCCCCGAACTGGCCGCTGCCGAGCTACCGCCAAGTGCCCACCAGCTCGCCCTCGGGCTACTATCAGTACGTGCCATCAGCGATGATCTCACCCGGCCACAAAACCTACAACCGCGTCCCCGATCTTGGCGACGTCAAGATCGAGAAGGATCGGTATCAGGTGCCTCTGCCCGGCTCCGGCCACACCGTTGGCTCCTTGGAGCAGCAGGCCAGCTATTGGAAACCCTACGAGCAAGAATACTACGAGGGGCTGGCGCAGGTCAGTCACAATGGCTATGCGGCGGTTCCGCAGACCGCCCAGTCTAGCCAACCGCACCTCTGGCAGGCAGACATGCTTCCGCCAGACAGCTGCACCCTTCACAACTCAGCGACCATCTACGATGGATATCAGAACAGGAGTGACGCCATTCCTCTTCAGAGTCAACCGACATTCAACGGCGGAAATCCGCAGGGCCCTACCTTACCGGTACTCCAAGATCTCAGTTCTTGGTTCCCGGAGAATTCCGAACAGGTGCAGCCACTTTCGCACGAGAAGTCCGTGACCGTTGCAACCGCTGATCCCGTGCCGAGCCATGTCTTCAGTCCAAACTTCATGAGTCTTTGAAGTTGGAGATTTCTGAATGGCTTTTAAGTCTACTTTAATTGTTTTTTTTTCTTAGGAGTCTTTCACTACAATATGAGATTAAAAGAAGAGGAAATGTGATGGCGGTGATAAGTGTGCCAATTACGGTTATTTAGATAGTTTTAGAAAATGATTGATTTGATTATTGAACTTTAGATTTTGTAGTTAAATTATGTAAATTGAAATGTAAATAAGATTTATATATTGGGGGGGGGGAGTGATATCGCGGCTTGTCTATATTGCGCCAGTACCTTTATATGATAATATAACATGAATAAAAGGAAAATATAATGTTTATTTACGAGAATGTTGCGGTCAGTGTATTTTTTTATTGGTAATTTAACGTTTTTGACCTATAATTCAATTGAGAAGATTAATTTAAAAAACGAGTTGAAGAAAAATTCATCAACATTTGAACGAATCCGGTGGGATGCTGTAGTGCCCCATTTACGTTGGACTATCATTACAAATCAAGGCGAAAAAATTGATCAACTCTTTTTTATTCAGTTGAGATTCTTCGCATGAAAAATTCAGCGCACAAAGTTTGCATTTTGTTCCTTCAATTTTCTGGAAAAAACTGGTACATTCATGCCCGGGAATTTTTTAAATCCAAACTGACTGAAACTGGCTAAATTATTCATCACAAATTTTTCCGATAAACTTATCAACGTAAGTATGTCTTGTGAAATTCGGGGTAAGAAATTTCTCACTGGGCAATGACCCTTTTCGAGATATTTCAGGCATCCCCCAAGGTGAAACTGATAAACCTAAAATGCCGAGTTTTGTTATTTACCCTCAAGCTATTCAGCCTCACGGATTTCAAAATTTTTATCACAAAAAGAATCTCATCAATTTTTAATTTTCAATTTTTTTCATCCTCCCTACGAAATTTAAGGGATATGGAATATTCCTGAGTAATTCTAGAGATATGACACTTACACTCATTTAACTTTGATGACTAACCAATTAATCAATCACCAATCAACCAATCAATCTTTAAGCAATAAAATTTATACCACTGGAGATCGATATCAGATAGCGTCCGCTATTGTTTTTCTTCATTGACATTGACCTGAAATTCATAACTACCGTTTCATCCCCACCATCGGCATCATTAAAGTCACATAAACGAACGAAGAGTCGAAACGATTTAGATAAAAAAACAAAATTCAAGGATTTCCCAATTTTGATTACGAAAAAAAAACCGGTACACCTAGGGATGGGCGATGTTTTAAAAAACATCGACGTTGTGAATTGATTTTTCAGGAAAAAACATTATTATTTAAAAAATCGATGTTTTTCTCATTACACAGGAGAAAAAACAAGTTGAAAATAATTTTTTCTTCTCGTTTTTATTGAAAAACATATATTTAAAAAATACAACCCGAGGAATCATTGTTAAAAATTTTAATTGAAAAAAAACTATAGATGACTGGACTTGTTCACTCATTAATTAATTAATAATTGATTAATTATTTTCAATACAAAACACAGGTGTCTGACAGCTATCTGAATCACATGTTCTAAATAGGTCTAAAGTTTCATAACTTTGGCTGCATTTTTTCCTTGGGTTTTGCAGTTTTTTTGGTGATTTCCATAAGATCACGGGTTGAATGACCACTTTTCCTAAAATTCATAATAAATTAACCATGCTACCCAGCAGTCTGAAACTTTGCACACGCCTTTTCCATCATTTAAAGAATACTTAAAAAAAAGAAAAAAATGGCTGCTTTCTTTCCAGCCCTCCCAGCTCGCCCGATTATCCTTAACCTCTCAAAAGTGTTTGAAAAGCGTCTACAAAAGTGTCTGAAATTCAGACATTAGTTTTCGCAGTGTTGTTTATTCTCAATCAATCCACATTATTCTTCGCCAAAAAAATGAAAAATTGTGTTAGCGTGGTCAGAAAACTTGATGTTTGGGCATGAACAATCGACGCTTTCGATTAATCGACAAAGATCGCCCATCCCTAGGTGCACCTCGGCACCCGTAATACCCCAGGCAAGTACGTTTCGATGGATATCCCCCCAGCCACCGCAGCAACTGCTGGGCGAGTGGATGATGCGAAAGGAGAGAAGTGTAGAATAAAAGCGGGAACTCTCTTGCCAGTGCGACGTTTTCGCAGGGGTGGCCCAGGCGCACCGTAGCATGAAGGGGCGGCGGGTGAAATGCTGGGTCGTGAGACTAGGGGGGTGAAACAGGATGGAGAGAGGACGGGTAGGTTTCAACCATGATTTCCATTCGCCAGCCATCCATCTTGTTTGAGACTGGAAACTGACAGATAGACGTGGATCCGAGTGCCGGTGACGTGGCAAGTCTTGCAGGGTCTACGTATGGGTTGTGTACACAGATGGATATCTGTATGTGTTGCGTGTAGGTATGGGAGTTCCAGGGCTTTACTTGTACTCGTTCCAATACCTCTACACACGTCACATCCCACCCCACATCGCACCCTCGGAGCTTACTCTTCTCTCTAAATAGGCGCGGGTTATCCAGTGGCTGAAGTTTGGAGACGAGGACGTGTATGAAAACATCAACATTCAGCGGGGGAGTCGATAGTAATTAATGTCTCGACATTTTCACGGGATCGTAAAGTACACGGGGAGAAAAGTTGGATTAAAATTATCTAGAAAATCGTCGCAATTATTATCTCTCTATATAATAAAAAAATAAGGGCAAAATTTACGACAATTCAGGCGACGCCAAAATTCTGGCGACGCCTAAAGGTGGGGGGGGGGTCAGGGGGGGCCCAAGGTCGGGGGGGNAAGGGAGGAGGGTGTCCCAAGGTCAAACGCGGTGGGGGGGAATGAAATATATAATTCCGCTCATAAAAATGAGGAATCAATATCGTGCAATTTGAAATGAGAGGAGTGGAAAACAATCGAAAGGAATTTTGAAAGAGTTAATTTCACTCAATCGTAATTCACTTTTCATTTACATTGATGTTGAATTGTTGTTATGTTGTTATTGTTGTGAAATAAAGAATTGTAGGCTCTCTTTGACTTCCTAATCTCTAACAGTTGGATTGGGGGGGAGCGAGCGAAGCGAACGGGGGGGGCGAAGCCCCCCAGGGTTGGCGAGCGAAGCGAGCAGGGGGCGAAGCCCCCTAGTCGATAATACTAGACTGGCAATTGAGCAGAAACTCAACCAAATATTTCGACTGATATTAACTTCCGTTTGGATTTTATTTCAGATTTTAATCTGCCAAATTTAACTCATGTTTATACTACTTGAATGTGTCGCGTCTGTATTTCTCCGGGATTTGTGATTCTTCCCCAGCCCATTTAATTTGTTTCCATTCAAGGATCAATTTATTAATGCGAAATAACTCGGAAAATCGCCTGATGTTGTGGAGAATTCCCTTTATTCATGGAATTTTGTTCTTGATCCCTTTGTCTGGCCATCGCTTATCCACGAGGCATTCGCCTTGCTCTACTGCCAATAAATACAATGGGCTTCCTCTCACTCAGATCCGTACATGGATTTACGAGTATTTGAATCAAAATCGGATATTTTTGCCATTCGGATTTACGGGCAATGTGGTGCGTTCACGGCCTGGCTCTTTCGTGGGCCATCGATTTTTATTCCACGAATGAATAATGGATGGATAATAATATTATATAAAACAGAGAATTGGTTATTCGAGATGATAAGAAAAGAAATATGGCTCACCTGAATTTTCATCGGGTGGAGGATTCAATGATTGGATCAATAAAAAAATTGTTTTTTTTTTAACAAATAGAAAAACTCAGTTCATTTTCAAAGAAGTTCATTCAGTGTCAAGAATATCTTTTTTTCTTCACTCGAACTGTGCGCGCGCTTATCTATTCGTTGTGAAAATGAAGAAATCGAATTTATTGAACTTCATATACTCACAGATGTTTTATAAATATTGATAATGACTTGAAGAGAATTAAGAGAATGAAGAGTGAAACATCAATGAATAATTTTTAATCTTCGATTAATTCTTTTTAATTTACTTTTTAAAATAATTTGATTAAAATCTGTAATTGTTGAAAAATGAGGGGAGGGTTATGAATTGATTTCCTAGAAAACTGAAAAAAATTTTGGAATTCTTCGGAAAATTTCAGTTTTCCAGATAACCGTAGATTTTCAAAGATTTTTCTCGAATTATTTGGGAAACCGAAGAATTTTCATAAAGTTTGTAGAGTTTAGAATTTATGTATGAAAATCTGAGAAGCAAGAACTGATCATTTTACGTATGATAAATATGAAAAAATTAAAATTAGGGAAGTGAAGAATAATTTGTGAGCTAAAAAAATTTAGAAATACTATTTTTTTTCTCGTGATCAACAATTAGGCAATTTAGATATGTTTTGAGATAAAGATAAACTTCGCACATGAAAAATATGACGCAGAAATTTTTTTTGGCATTTGAAGAATTTGAAAATACCGGGGATTTTTTCAGCGACTACTTCACGCGACTCATTGACCAATCAGAATTGAGGCTTATCGGTCAGGCGGTTTCGAGATATTTCGATATAAGCCAACTTCACGTTTCTTCCATCTTTAGTAAATATTCTCCTCATTTCGAATTCTCTCCTTTCTCCGGAAGTTGCGGTAACCTTTTGGATATCACGGTTGACTTGGTTTCTCATGTGGGTGGAGTTTCTTTCCACAGTTAAAACGCAGAAAAATTGAAATGGGAGATGCGATGAATGAATAAAGATTCCCAACCGGGGGGTGCCGGAGGGTCGACCCCGTTGGCACGTGAAACGACTCCGGAGACTCTTTTCGAAGCTGTTATAGAGGGGCGGAGGAGTGTGGATCGCGCTGCACACGGGAGTGCTATGATATTAGGTAGAAACGCATGAACTTTGATATATTCGCGGAGTATAGAGAGGAGCGATCCTTGCAGAGGGGGGTGGGGGGTGGGGGACTCTCGGCGCCATACTGCGGCAAGTATCCAAACTATACGTGACCGGCAACTTTCCGGTGTCTTGCCGACGGTTGTGCCCCGTGCG